TTCAGGAAACTAAGGTCTATAGCTCCTGGGTCTCACAACACGCAACTCTCCTCAAAGTGTGCAATTTCTCTGTTTGGGGTATGGTCACTTATCCTCGATGGCCCAGCTGAGAGCTCACTCTCTGTGTAAATTATCTACCTGACACATCCTGCATAAAGCCTTATGCTTTATGTTTCTCTACTCTGTGCCTCAAGACCGATGTCAGGAATTCTATGTGTTCTTCCTGGGAAAACTCTCCAGCCCAGGCCTGGTCCACAACTCCATAGCAAACCCTCAAGGCACAGGTGCTTGGTAGAGGCTGGGGTTCCTGGGCCTTCTCTGTCACACTTTGTGTTGAAGGTCTCAGAAAGGCCTTCATGGGGGAATTCCAGATCTATTCTCACCCTGCTGACAACCATCCTCACAAAACATTGCAGTACTGCTTCATCAAAATCCTGCACATGTTCCCCTAATGCCTATGACAGGCAAAACCTTCAAGACTGGATGCCAGAATACTCAGACATTTTCAACTCCAGTGATGCCTCCCCAGTGTGGCCTTTCCAGCCACACTGAGCCCACTTATTATAGCACTTCCCCTATTTCCTCCATCTTCCTAATGAAGACTTAACTACAGTTACTGAAATTTCCATCTCTGTGCCTCAGGTTCCTCATCTGTAAAAGGGGGTGAAGAATAATACCTACTCATACAGTTGTGGTTCAGAATCAATGGGTTCACATTCTTGGGATGATGATTGTCACCTGCTAAACCATAAAYCAGAGCAGGTACTACCATTAGCAGAGCATGTCTTTCTCCTACATGGCTTGCTTAAATGAAACCTCCTTTGCAAACCAAACTCAGCCTCACAAACCAGAGCTAATGCCAGCTTTTCTCTCTCAGCCCATGCTAACAGATCTCATACTCATTCTTACCCTATTTTGCTGTATACGTTTATCTATCTCCAACATTGAACCATCACCATTCTGAAGACAGGGGTCTAAGTCATCTTATGTTAGTTGGATCCTTCAAAGGCCATCCATAACACCTTGAACACAGCAGGCTCTCACTGAACATTAGATGGGTGGAAATTCATCCAAGAAAGGGAATAGAAGCAGGCAGTTGATGTGCACAGCATTTTAGGGTTTTCTTTGAACCTGGATATGTACTCTATGCCATCTATACTCTGGAGAAATACTCTCCACACCCAAGAAAAACTTGTGAATAAAACTCCTTGAAGGGTCCAGGGGATAAGCTGAATGTGATCCTGCATGGGATTCTGGAAATCTATGGATCTGCTCTAACTGTAGTCAAATGGCATTCAGTGGACCATTTTTTTTTCTTTCCTAGAGAGTGTCTTTGGTGCTGGGGATTGAACACAGGGCCTCCTTCCCACATGCTAGCCAGGTATCTTATCACTGAGCTACACGTCCGTCCTAGAGAACATTTTTTTAATATTTATTTTTTAGTTGTAATTGGACACAATATTTTTATTTATTTATTTATTTATTTAATTTCATGTGGTGCTGAGGATCRAACCCAGGRCCTCGCATGTGCTAGGCGAGCACTCTGCCGCTGAGTCACAATTCCAGCCCGAGAGCCTTCATTAAATGGAATCTGTTAGGCCCCAAGCTAATAATCCTTTCATTTAGCCACTTGGAGACCAAGCCTTTCCCTCCAGAGCCTTACATCAATGAAGACATTGCTTCCTTGCAATGTACAAGCCCACTGAGTAGGGAGAACTAGGTAACAGGTGCGTGGTGATTTAGGTAGAAACCTAGGAGAAACTCCTTAATGAATTCCATATTAATTGACCAATAAAGAGGGGAGATAATAGTCTGATGGAGTAAGGGACTTGGGGACCTCCATGGCTCACTCCTCCTCAGTGGTGTGGAGCCAAGGGTTAGCCATCATTACACACGTGTGCTTGGCGTGGAACGCAGACACTTGCCACTTGGCTCTGTCTGGCGGTGAGGGTTGTTTTCTGTCAGGATAACTAAAAATCACACTACCTCAGCATCCAGAGACACAAAACAAGGCTGTTCACCTAATGACCACGCAGAGAATTAAGGGACACTAAAAGACCAGAGGAAGCATGATAGCAGAACAAAGGGGACATGAAGACCATTAGTGGAGCATCCCTGAAGCAATTCTCCACAGAGGATGTAGAAGGAACCCTTCTACAGGAGCCTGTTTTATTTGCAGAAGGCATGGTGGTAAATTAAAGCCCGACTTGGCCCATTCTGGGCTCTCTGGTTTCTCTTGGAGCCGTTCCTATCACTGCCCATAGGCCACTAAAACCTTCCCACAATCGGAATGATTTATTCTCTTCAAACCATGAACCACAAACTCATGCTGAAAAACCCACTTCAGATAAGTCATTAGTTTCTTTTATAGATTTTCGAGGTCACAAGGAATAGGACCTGGGAGTCCTATCCTAAGAAGAGTAGAGGGGGGCAGTTGAAGAGGTGGAGGGACCTGGGAAAGCCACAGGAGCTGGGCGAGCCCCTGTTTTCTGCCAATCAGCAAGAGGCAYTGAGGAAAATATAGGCCTCAGCGACCTCCTAGGCAGTGCTAGATATTCCAGGGCATCCCAGAGGCCTTTGGGTTGGACCCTTCATTCCTACAATACAGGGGAAGGAAAATGCAGAGAGTCAACAGGGGCCCTGTCCTTTCTCCTCTGATAGTATGTAGAGTATGCTGAGCACCTGGGATACAGAAAACCAGAGTCAAGGAGGAGAGGGTGAGACTCCCTGACTTGTCGGGCTGGCCTATCAGCTAAGCTGCAATGGGGACCACTGTGGGCCCAGAGGATGAAGCATCCTGGTAACTATAGCTGTGGTCCTAGCAGCAGCCCAGAGGCACCCACACGAGAAACCTAAGTTCTGTAGCTTGGCAAGTTTCGGCTCACCACCTGACCCCCGTTTAGCAATTCTGATGTACCACAGAGCAGACAGCTCCAGCCTGGGATGACTGCCTCCCTCAGCCCCTCTCCGGCAGGCAATGAAAGCAAGATCCACTTTGAAAATTCTCCCCCATCATGCAAACTGACATAGGCATGCTTTTCAAAAACCCACAGCCAATCTGTTGATCATTACTTATTTACAAAGGCCTTCGGGCAGAAAGTCCTGTAAAAACCATACTTGATACGGTATACACTAGCTTTTTCTGCTTGTGGAAAAAAAGTCCCCCGAAGGCTACCTCAAACCATCACTTTCTATTGCACATAAAATGTAGCGTGTAACACTAAAGTATTTAATATATATGGTATAATATATCTACAGGAAAGGCATTTGTGTAGAAGTATGTTACCCTGGATTTGGTAATTTGATGTTTTGCTGAAGGCTACGACTTAAAAAAGCCTCCACCTCGTACAGGAGACCTGTCATCTTGGTACCCAAGAGCCAACAGAATAAAGAAGTACCCTTAAGCAGCAAAACTTTGACACAGCTTTGAAGCATATGAAAACAGTATAACTCCTCAGAATTATTATTACTCAAGATCAAAGAAATGAGCCATACTTTACATAGCAAACAGGGACAGGGAATTTGGCTCCAAAGGTTTCAGATTTTTCAGATTTCTCTTTATTTATTTATTTGCTTCTCTAAATTTAGGCAAAGGAAAATGCCTGGGCTTCTCTTGTCTTTAAATGGAAGAAACTATTAGCATTAGATAAGACGATTACCTAAAGGTGAATAAATAGGAAGTGAATGCTTGTTTAACAACTGGCATCATAAGAAGGAGAAGCTTGGGAGTTGTATTTTATTCCTTTTCCTACACTATATACAGGCATGGAAATCACTCCACAAGCAAAGCTGAGAGGAGGGGAAGGCAGAGAAAGCCCAAACCAACACCTATCAGGAGACCGCAATAATGGCACAGGAGATAGGGCTGGTGGTCTCAGCTAGTGGAGAGCCTATGTCCCTGTCCTTTCCATGTCCCAGACTGGTGCTCGTGGAGGACCAGGGAGAAGAGAATGCAAAGGAAAAGTAGGGAATGAAAAATCACTGTTCCTGTATTTCAATAATCAAACAGAGGAGAGAGGCCCGTGGCAAAGCAAAGAGGAAAGGAGTGTGTGAGGAAGGCAGGTGTTTCCCTGGAAGGGACCATTCAGGGTGGGCAGTGCAAACCTGAAATCACTCCCATTTCAATGAAGTGCTAGAGAGTCGGGCGGTCAGAGGAAGTGAGGGCTGTGATTGATAGATGAATCACAGACACAAAGGAGAGATGAGCAGACAGAGAAAAAGAGCTGTAGAACTCTGTCAAAATTCGGTTTACTTGCTGTTTCTTAGAGGAGGTCATGGTCAACAGAGAAGGAAGGCAGGAAGGGAAGGAGAAAAAAAAGAAGGAAGAAGGGAGGGAGGGAGAAATGAAGGGGGAGAAAGAAAGAATAAAATGAGAGAGAGAGAGAGAGAGCGCAAGCATGCTGTATTTCATAATTAATATTGCTTTTAGCCTGAGCAGAACTGGATTACTTTTGAACTTTGCTTTGGCAAGTCCACAGATTATTAGACTTTTTTATCAGTCAAAATCAATTAACAGAAATTTGATTTCAATCGACAGGATAAAAGGAAGGTAATCTTCAGGTTCATTTTTGATTGTGATGATACATCTCACATATGGCCTTAAGTACAGAAAACAGTCCTCGGAGGGACTTGAGCAGAAAGAGACTTGCCACAGGCAAACTAACCACAGAGTTCCTCTGATTGGTTCCTGCCGTCATTAGTGCCACTGCTGTTTAGGAACTACACACAGACAGGACATGGTGACAGCTAAGACTTTAAAGCCTATGTATTTTTCAAACAGCTTTTCAAACTGTTTTTCATGACAGAATTTTTTCAGCTCTATCATTAACTGCTGACAAGCTGACAGAATAAATACTGCAGCCTCTAAGAAGCCATCTAAGGATCTGCTCCCCTCCCCCGCTGCGCTGTGCGGCTGGGGAGGGAGGCTGGGCCTGTGCAGGGCGGGGAGGGGGCAGGCAGGGGAGAAGGAGCAGAGAGGGGCCTTGCTGGCCCCTTCTTACCTCATCAGCTTTGGCGAGGAGTTGGGCGAGTTCCTCATGCCCCCGTTGCGTTGTTTTTTTTTGGGTGATAGCGTCGACGGCTGCTCATCTTCAACTGGAAATACAGGCAGCTCATGAGATTATGAATAGTTTGAGGGCAGACTGTGAAATACAGGCAAGATATCAAAGGACACACACTCAAGGCCTCAGTCACTCACTAGGAATTCATGGCTGTCTTTTAGGACCCAATGACAAAGACCAAATGTGTTAGTCAAAGAGGCCAGCCATAGAGAAGGYCGAAGCAACACCTCTTTACGCTTCAGCCTTTGAACATGCACTTACAGCCAACTCAAACAGTTTATCAATGCCCTGCCATAAGGAAAAAAAAAAAATTGTGATTCATCTGCATACAGAAATACATATATATGACCCGTCAAACGTTATTTTTAATTTTGGTTACATTGATAAGCGAATGAGTTTTCTTGTAACCAAAATCATCCATAACTACCATAACTACCAGCCTGCTGCTTCTCCCCATGAACCAATTTAATTGGTTCCTAATCCCTGCAGACCAGAGAAAGCCTGGGAGAGGCCAGGATTCAAGGCCTTCAGGGCCAAYGTTCCAATCAGTGGTGAGTGGGAACATTGGCACATGTGGACTCAAGAATCCCCAGCCCAACTCGGCCCTTATCCCTCCAGCTGCCAAGAGAGAGGGCACTGCGGCTGCGCACATGGGGTCTTTGCTTAACCCATTCAGACTGAAGGACCGGGATTGGCGAGGCTGGAGAGCCAGGTTGCCGAAGAGCACCAAAGGAGGAGGAGGTTGCTACTGAATGATACCTGGGATGATGCGGTGGAAGGCAGGGATGGAGGGCTGCAGAAGGGGCTGGAAACCAAAGGCTGTTTTCCAAATGTCTAAACCACACAGATCGCTAAGCAATGGGAAGCTTCACTCACAAACAACACAGCACACTCTACTGCTCTTGCCCAAAGACACCCACTAATAAGCTTTGTAGATGAATTAGTCTGCCCCCATGCTTCTTTTTAAGAGAGCTGCTTGATAATTAGCAGATGTGTACCCAGCCTGTCACCCAAGGGCATCAGCGGCAAAATTCTAGCCCTGCTCTCCCCAACCCCCACAATGCAGGCTAAAGCTGTAATGTCAAGAAGGAAAAATAGGATCCTTGGATTCTTATAGTTGACTGCAACACAGACTAGGAGAAAGCACTTCTGAAACTCAGAATGCAAGGAGGTTACCTTAAAGCTAAGAAGAGAAATATTAGCAGTGACAACGTCAAAAAAGGCTTCATATATGTTAATAGTGTATGAGTCTTAGATGGCAAGTAAAGGCCATCTTAGCTACTTGGTATTATCCAGGAAGACCCATATCAGAGCATGCATTCTATGGTGCTTTCCTGAAGACACTAAATCAATTTAGTAGGTTATGATACATGATTCTGAAAAATATTATAATGATCCAACAATCCTCCAGATTTGCGCCAAAGTATCCCACTTTTTACACTCCCCTACTATACTGTTAATCCAGGGTTTCCTGATTCTGGCTGACACRGGAAAAGGCAAAAAGAACATGGTGTGAGGTGAGGGTGACCCCAGAAGAAATAAAGGCAAGAATGCACCTGCCAACGCCCACAGCTGCTCCCGCCACCTCCTGCTCCCTCCCTCTCTGTTCTGCCAGAGGCTCTACTCAGGCTGTGACCATATCAGTCACTTAGTGCTCTAGGCAGGGACTATGTGGCAGAGAGGATATCGCATCTTATCAGAAATGAGTATCCACAGCAAATCACACAGAGACTAAACAGCACTTAAAAGATTAAAGGAAATAAATACAAGCCACATAAATGGTATTGAAAAAAATCACTTAGAGTTGATATGCATCTCTCGGCAGCAAACAGGCTTTCTGAGCTTGACCCGAATTCATCTTCCTTTCACAGGACAGGGGACTGAGCATCTGAGGCAATAATGGGGTAGAAGTGTGTGTGTGTGTGTGTGTGCGTGTGTGTGCGCACGCATGTGCACATGTAACTATGCTTTTACCCTTTTCCCATCTTAGTATAAAGGACTGCACCAACTTCATCTGTAATAGAAGGTCACCTTTTATTATGGGCCACTTGCACTGTTATGCTGTGTCTGGGGTGACCTAGATTAGTTGGTCAGCATGCTAGACTTGACAACATGTGTCTTTGTGTGTGTGCATGTGAGCGGGTCTAGTAAGAGTGCAAGTTCTGTCCCCTTTCACAGAAGTTTCCTTATGATTCCAATGGAATACCCCAAAAAACTCTTTCATCCAACCAAATCTCTATGGCTAGCTTTATTGGAGGCCCCCAGCTGTTGCTATGGTTGTGTTGTTCCAGAACAAGTCTCTATTAGTTAGATACAGACAGAAAGTCACCTTCGCGGGCATGCCTCTGGATTCTTCTGCTCACCTTGTGCTTCCCTGTTGGCACTAGGCCTTCAACAGATAATCCCTTTGGTTAAGTGCCCATCATCCTTATACCTTGTCACTGGCTGTTTACCTGCACAGATCTTCAGATGGGGAACTTGCAAGTTAATCCCTGTTAGCCAGCTCTAGAGAGACAGCTCATTTTGGTATGGAGGTTACACCGTCTTCTGTGCAAGGAAGCTATTTATTTTCATTGCAACTTGTAGAGATCATCCATCATAATCATACTGAATTTAAACTGGAATTTGTTCTCTGAAATGAAACTCTGTTCAAAGCTTTCCTCCTGCACTTGGGGCCTGGAAATATGTTCCCTGAAGAGATGGGGGACAATGTCTCCATATTAAGTATATGAACGTTGTGTATTAGAGACCACTGCATCTGGCTCAGGTCTCACAAGAGAATCAGGGATGATTTCTTCTTCATAAGGAGGATATAAACCATATTTAATTATTACCCTTTATAAGGATTCTATAAAGAAAGCATATCTAGGAAAACTTTTAGTTAAGCTATAAACTATAATTTTCATTTCATGGCTTCTGTGACTACACGAGAGGAATAAAAATGGAATTAAAAGGGAGACTTAAATTTACACACTTTCATGAAAGACAAATGTGTTGAAGTAATGGGCCGCTACTTCATGACAATGCACATTACAGGTTCGTATTTAACCTACTTTTTGGCTAATTGCAATACACCTCTGTCTCTAGCCTTTTCCCTTGCCTCCGTGCAGTGGGAGACACATGAAGATATGAACCTTTAAAGGAAACTGACTTACCAGCTTCTTTAAAACACAAACAAGTTCAGGAATCTAACATGGAATTTTTATAGGAGCTGAACTCCATCCAGTCTCCAAGTACTCATAAAATTCAAGGGCTTGTTTTTGCACATCCCTAAGTATAACACTTAATGTTCTGTTGTAACTTCCCAGCGCTCCCTTGTCTAATAGGCACTGAATCTAACAGTTTTACAGTTTGGGAAGACTCTGYGCTAGAAAAATGTCAGGCAAGTCTAATGAGGCTTCAGATCCCCTGGTTTGCGCTGGAGTTTAATTTAAAGTTACAATGATGTTTTAACATGTTTGCTTATACTTGACTAAAGAGGATTCATTATTTCAATGACATAACCTCCAGACAATGTTCTGGGGATTGATTTAAGATGTGGTGGTAATTCCAACAGCCTTAATGCAGAGTTGAACATCTGTAACAACATTTCATTCCRCTTTTCGTCAGCTTTCTGTTTTCCAGCAAGAGCAAGGCAACATCTTCCAGAAACACTGGCCAGGATTCGGGGCTTACTTCAAATGATCATATAGTTTACTAGATTTTTTTTTAAGAAATATCTGCCTAGCCAGGCTGCAAACACTGAGTAAGGGCTCACCAGTGTCTCTTTATAGGTCCTTGAAGTGAAATGTGACAATGGTTACCATCTTCAGCTTTCCTAAACATCCCAGTGTCTGTATGTGATGGACTCAATGGTCAGCTCCAGCCTGGGGCACATTCCCTCTTCCCCATTTCCCCAGTGTGATTCAGGGGGATAAAGCCCCTTGAGACTTAAAGGTGAGTTTGTTGGCTGAAGTTAAAAAATAGTTCAAAGCAAATAAATTCAGGAACGTAATAAAAGGCAAACAACCCGTAAACATGAGTCAACTAGCTATCTCCATTACGTTATTAATCACCACATCTGGAGAAATCCACATCTGTACACACTTAGCAGGTCATTAGTAATGTCATTTCACACTGGAATCACTCAGAGTAAGAGTCAAAGAGTCATGCAAAGTGGTTTGAACACAAAGCCATCTAGCTAACAGGGCTTCTGACCAAAGTCTGCAGCAAGCTGCTAGTTTGAAGGTGGGGTCATTTTAATGATTGTTTATTGTTATTTTGTTTGTTTTTTTTTTTATATTTATTTTTTAGTTCTCCGCGGACACAACATCTTTGTTGGTATGTGGTGCTGGGGATCGAACCCGGGCCGCACGCATGCCAGGCTAGCGCGCTACCGCTTGAGCCACATCCCCAGCCCCTGTTTATTGTTTTTTATGGCTTTTCTGTTGTTTGATATTTTGCTGCCCAATAAGCTAAATGCATGCTGAAATCCATGGTAGTACATCTCTCTCCTTCAACTGTGCTCGTTTTGTTAAAATGGAACACTAAGGGGTGCAGGACAGTTATCAAAAATTGGGAGAAATCCCAGTCTCCTTCACCTGGCTCAGTCACAAGCCGAGAATGGGGAGTTGCGTTCTTGAACTCAAATGGGTCTTTGTGATAGCGTGATCTAGCTTCAGCCTTGACTGCCAAACAATAAGGAGAAAAGAAAACGGAAATTAATCCTTAGTGAAATTTTTAATTGCAAAAGTTCCAAACCAATTTTAATGTTGAATAGAATCATAGATTTGGATTAAAATGGAGTTTTCTCCCTCATGGCTGAATTGCAGGTATATTTATTTCTATTCTTATACCCAGATGACTTCCTGAAATTCTTTTTGCTGCATTTTTGTCATCAATGTCAGAAGGGATAATATCTGTGAAAATTCAGAAGACCATCTCCTTYTGCAATAATTTCCAGAAATATACAGGATCCCCCTCCCTTCTCCCCAAAAATACACACACAAAACCCAGCTGAGCGGCAGGATCAGATCCCTTATATCCTGAAAAATACTGAAAGAAATCCTACAGAATAATTATTCTATTCAAATCCTTCTCCCTCAGTGTTATCTTGCTATTCATCTCAGGCAACTGGCTTGGCCAGCTTGCTGAGTGATCAGAATGCTGCCTAACTTAAATGTCATTGGTTTGTCACTTCTTAGAAGGAATGATATGTAGGACTAGGGTGTAGCTCAGTGCTTGCGAGCATGCACAAGGCCCTGGGTTCAATCCCAATATTGCAAAAACAAACAGAGAGTCATGTGTAGTATTTTGCATCGTGAGTAAAAAGTATGTGTGTGTTTTCAGGCTATGAATGTTACATGACTAAAATTGAAGGTARGGGTGAGGGCAAAATTGCTAGGATAGACATCTATCAGGGTTCTTTCTAGTTCCTGTGGGCTTGTCAAACTTTACCCTAAGAAAAATCATGAAAGTCACGGTAACATGGTCCTTCTGCAATTCACCATAAACAAAATTCTCAGGACAAACCTCTTTGACATGACTTCCCGATTTGCACCGGGAAGGCTGGGCTAGTTAGGGCTCAAATGTGGTCAATGAGAGCAATCCCTGGATTAGAGCATGGAATACTTTCAGAGGATTGTTTCTTGTCCTGTAATTGTAGACCATCAGACCCCTGGCTGCCTATCACATGGATGGGACTGGTGAGAAGGTATGTGAGTTCCCTTAAGCAGTGATGGAGAAACAACAACATATATCAGATAAATAACCCATACTGCGAGTTGGCATTGGTGTTTGTTGAGAAGGAGCTCTTGGCTGCAGTTTCAGGATGAATTCCACACTGGGAATATGACATGAGCATCAGTGAGGTTGAGCAGCTAAGCATGGCTGGGATAAGGAAAGTCAGAGCCAAAGTCTTTGCCAAGAAGGGCAGGGGGAAGCCCAATATCAGAGCTCTGATATATTTCAAATGAGTGTTTCTGGTCTGACAATCTTGGGGTATCATATATCACCAAGAACACGCTGCACCATTATCAATAAAATTAATCCATGAAGGTATTTTTTGAAAAGTTCGCAACAGATACTAATACACAGAAATATAAAGATAAAGGCTGCTGTGCCTCAAAAGTGACTCCAATGATCAACATCTCAAACATATAAAACTCTAAATGCACAAATTTTTATATACATTATCCAGCAGGATAACTTCACAACCTATAGCTGAAAAATAGGGAAAAACCAGGTTGAGGTTTATAAAAGGAGTCTGTCATTACATAAAATGAGAATGAAAAAGGATTTCCAAGTGGCCCATCTTGCACTAATAGGGGCAGGGAACACCCGCCCCATGGTGGGCTGATGGGGGCAGGGAAGGGGGGCTTGTTGGTGCTTTTTCATTTCCGGCTTTTGTGGAGCTAATAGGAGAATGGGGAGGGAGACTTTAAGGAACAATGGGTTATGTAGAAGTTAATCACAGGGTATATTTCTGGCACTATTCACTGCCTTGGAAACCTGAATTGTGTAAGTTTGAGTCCATCAACACACAGTAATGAAAGAACTCAGCTCCTACATGGGAGAGGGAGAAAAATGCCATATAAATATATTAACAGAATCCACATGACCTGGAATGTGAAATTCCCTATAGAAATACCATGCACTGAATGGATCCTCTAGAATCAAATTACAAGATGTACCTACCCATGGCACCCACACGACCCCCACCCCAATTTCAAACTATAAGCCACATCAGATCTTGGTAGGAGTCAAACATTTACCAAAGATCCTGGTAGGAGTCAAACATTCACCAAAGCACCCTATATCTAGAATCTTGGTTTTTATATCTTCACTGGAATTGCTATAATCACTTGCCCAATACTGTCCTGCTCAGTATTGGGTAGAAAATTCCTTTGAGAGGTCTGGTTGCCTTTGGCCTTTTTCTTTCTTTCATTTTTTTTTTAACATACTGTCTCTATTGCCTCAAGGGCAAAGCAAAGTCTCAGTCAAAGATCACTAGGTATTAGCTTCTTAAAGATGAGACACAAGAGATGAACAAGGGAATTCAAAGAGGAAATGCACAATTGAAAAGAGAAATGCAAGCATATTCCTGAAATATTGCAATGGAGCTTGGAGATCTGGAAGGTAGTGGGAGATAGGAGATAATTTTCTCTTTGAGTCAAACTGGCAGGGAGGGGAGTTATAGAAGCCAACAAAATAACCTTTCCCAATTTCCCTTCCCTCCCCACTCCTGAAACCCATCAGATGAGAAAGGTTTTCGGGCCAGACATGACCCTGTTTGCAGCACTAGCATGTGCACTACATGTGTGTAAGGGACAATCCTTAGAGGAGGGATGGAACCTGCCAAGTCCCTGGCACTCCCAGCTGCCTTCTCACCTTTGTCACATTCAGGGGTCGGTCACCAAATTGTAGCCTAAAATAGGATTTTGTGCASTCCACAAGCTAGGTTACATTTTTAAAGGTTAGGGTGAAAAATCTAAGAAGAATTATATTTCCTGTCACACAAAAATTATAGAAAATTCAAATTTCAATGGCTAGAAATAAAATTTTACCTGACCATAACCATCATTTGCTTACCTATTGTCCATAACTGCTCTCTCTCTATGACAGAGCTGAGTAGCTACAATATGAAGCCCGAGACATTAACTAGCTGACCCCTGAGAGGAAACATTTGCTGACCCCCATAGCAAATCTTCTCACATTTTCCTAGCTTCCTCATTTTCCAAAAGGATGGTGCTCTTCCCAACCTGCCAGGGCAGCCAATGAGCAAGGAAAGATACGTGCCATCCATTCCAAGCAAGCAGACTTGGGAAAGTGGGGAATGGCAGAGATCACTTAGTGATTCCAATGCCCCTCCCACCCAGCCTGCCATGAGCCCTACTGGTCCTCACATGTTTGAGGACTTGGGTCAGGTGAGTTTCACCTTTTCCTACTTAAGCTAAGTTAGAGTCGTCCACCCCGTACTTTGAGAATCAAGGCAAACCACATCTACCGGGAGCAATTCCTCGAAGCTGTCAGTCCACCCTGCGAGAGCCCTGTACAAGACAACAGATTAACCATTAGACTAGATATGTTGAAAATATACAGCTTCAACCTTTCCCCAGCTAGCTCAGAGCGATATATAGATGATTATTTCAACCGTCAGCTGCCGCATAGATTTAAACCCCTGCACAATAACTCCTGGATTCATCTGCCCCTTGTCAAACTTACACAGCTTTAGTTGGAGGATACATGGTGTGGCAGTTTCACTGTGAATCCAGAATGATCCAGACGGCTGCTGTCTCTTTGTTAACAGGAAGCCAAACTGATGAGTTTGTAATGCATTTCTTATCAAAGGTAGTTTCAGAAAAGAAAATGTGCCCCATCAGTTTGGTTACAATTTCATATAGACCAGATTACGGGCTTAATCAGAGCATCTCTGTTATTTTCTTGAAGAAATAGATAATTCTGCATCCATCCCATTAAAATCATTTCATGCCAATGAATTATGTATTTATGAATTTATAATTATCTAGCCTTGATTTTCCCCTCCTGCAGTATACTTAATAAAATCATCAGCTGCAGCCTACAAAGCCATGGCGCTTAATAGATACGAACATGCTAATTTATTTTTTTAAGTGAATGCTGATGTTTTTGAGCTGTGCGTCGAAAATGATCATTGTGAATAAAAGGGATGGCAATTTTCAACACACACGTTTAACAAAGACAAAATGGACTATAGTGGAATTTATGAAGCCTGGAAAGGAACTTTTGTCCAATATGGCTTATTATCCAATAGATTCGGATTTGCTCTTGGTCAAATCAGGTCCCTGTGCTATGCATCAAGAGAAAATGCCAATAAGATGCCAAACACTGTTGGTGGCACAGGGAAAGGGTTCACCTAAGAGGCTGCAGGCTGCCAGCTTTCTGTTGTCCTTTTTGTTTTCGTGCCTACTAAATTCAGTGTTTAACTATTTGCATTAAAACCACTATTTATCATGTCTTCATTTAAAATGATGACATACTGTTCATCATGGATTTTTAAAAATATTTTAAAGACATTGCATGAATCTCTTGATTGCTGAGGTTTGGGGGGACCCCTTAGGTTTGATGACCAAGGAAAATGCCTCACATGACTCTCGGTAGTCCCCTGCCTGGCACTGGAAGTTTCTTAAGGGCACTTGAGGTGCTGGATCTACCACCCTGCAGAACTAGACAAGGCAAGAATAAAACATGAGTTATTTTTTTGAATCATTTCATGCTGTTTGCATGAGATTGTTAGGGAAGGCCCTGGCCACACGTACATCCTCCTGGATTTACAAACTGTCAGACATCCAAAGAAGTAAAGATCATGCTGCCTTAGGAATCTGAGAGTTGCCACCTGCCCAGGGTGAGAAACAGAAAAGAGAGATGGAGTCAGGTCTCTTGTGAACTTTATTTCATCCCACATCGATTCTCCTGGTTAACACAATACTAGTTTACATTTTCACTCTGGGGCGAAAGATTTTATTTGCTTATATGTTTTGACTCCTATCTGATCTTCTTTCTCTGTTTCTTTCCCCCTCCCCCTAAACAGCTTCAAATACACATGACTGGCAGAAGATGTCAGTCATATTTTCATTTCCATTTTCTCTTTGCTATTTACATCTTTTAATGTTTGCCCCAATGATTCTGCTATGGGAAGACTAGCCTAGAA